ACTGATTCTGAGAGTCGTTCTCGTCGCTCTGTCACTCTCGCACCCATGGGGCGTCTCGTATGGGTGCGAGAGAGACAGAGCGACGAAAACGACTCTCAGTCTGCGGGTGACACTGCCGGCACTGCACTGGCCGGAAGGACCTTCATCCGGATCAGGTAGATGCGCGATGACCCCGCGGCCCGTCGGCCGGCGTTCTCACCCCGCGTGTGTTTGTTTTTTATCCAGCGGGAAGCACCGCCGCGGAGCCGCGGAGACAAAAAAATAATTAAGCGCACTGTCTCCGTCTCGCTTTCGCCGACCGAGGCTTTCGCTCTCCGTCTTGTGATGAATCGCCACCCTTATTACTTCGCCGTGTGACTGTCAGTCTGTTGCGATTGTTTCAAATACTACGCTGTTGAGAAAAAAATTCATGTAAATTCTTGGAGAACTTGTTGACTGTCGATATGTTGCAATTGCTTCATGTAAAACACTGTTTTTACTTTTTTTTTAATCTTGCAAAGTCCTGCAGAACATGTCGAAAAATTCCTGTAGAACTTTTTGACTGTCAATCTGTTGCAATTGTTTCTAAAAATCTTGTTAAGTCCTGGAGAATTTGATCGAAAAAAAAATTGACGTGACCTTGGGAGGATTCTAAAATCTGCAATGTTTTTATTGAGTAGGAGTTTCCGCCAGGAATGGTACGAAAAAGATGTTGTTTTGGAGAACGAAGCCTCTGGAAATTTCCGACAGAGCCGGTCACGCACTTTCTGGGATTTTGCAATTTATTTTTAACGGTGAAGATATGAAATGAGAGGGACACACAGCCTTCTTCTTCCTCCTCCTCTCCCCACGTAAATTTTTTCATCCTTGTCGTCTTCCTTCCCGTATTCCCTCGGACACGGCCATTGTTTTTTCCTTAATGGGCGGCGCGCACAGTTTGAGGAAAACGCTGGGGGATGACGATTTGAATACGAGCTTGTTGTTTTTCTGGCCCGCACTAACGAAGCGCGATGTGCACTTTTTCATCTCTCTCGCCACCGCCACCCTTTGCGCTTCGAGACCTTCAATGGGACAGACGGTTTTTCAGACGCGGAAGTGTTTCATAAGGGTGGTGAAGGGGAAAAAAAGTTTATGAAAAAAAATTGTTACTGGCTTGATTGTCACTGTGCTAACCTTGTTTTGTCGCCAGTTTTTCCCGTGTTTTTTTTCTCACCGCGCGACGTGTATTCCGCCAGAGACCACCATCGGCGCGAGCTGGTTTATTAAACAGATCGTTACTTTCATGGGATTGTGTTTAGCGCATGGCGAGTAGGCCCGCTGCGTTTGCCTACCGCTTTTTCTTCACTCTTTTTTTCACGTACGAGTCGCCGCGTACGTAGAACTAACCTCGGACAAGGTGCCGGCCGAAGTGTCTTTGCGGATACTCCGCGCTCCAGGCCGCCAGGCTCCAGGTTTATTGGCGCCGGTGATTGCATTGGCACGCCGTGACGTCACTAATGGCGCGGGGTATCCGCGCCGAGTGAGTGGGGGAATGCCCCGCTGCAGCGTGCCGGGGGAAATGAATCGAACTGCGCGATTCCCGTTTGCTTTTTTTCTCTCTTTCTTTCTTTTTTTCGTGTCGGCTTGCTTAGTGGGGTGAGTGGGAGGAGGAGGGTCAGCTCGGTGGACCACAGCGAGTCGAGGAGCGCCGTCGGGCCGCTGGACGCACCCTCGCTGGGGTCAGTGAATGTACGCAGCACCCCGGGGATGTATGGGCATATGGACGGGCCGTGCCGTGCGCCCCGCCTCGCCCCGCCTCGCCCCACCCCGCCCCGCCCCGCCCCGCCCCGCCCGAGGGCAGCAGGCAGGGGGCGACGCGCCCCGCCACGCCGCACGGCGTCAAGCACGTCAAGCACCCCGTCATGTTGGTCGCCAGTTTAGCCAATTGCCCGGCGTGGCGGTCGAATGCAATCGGCGCTGCAGGCGCTACCCCGCGCTCGCGGGACTCTGGTGCACTGGCAATAGCCTTGAGGCGCTGGCTGGGTTGGCGCGAGGGGTATCGCCGTCGGGGTGGCTGGCTGCAGCGCCGCGCGCCCCCACCCCCGCCGCCCCGCCAGCCGCCCGCACCGTCGTCGCCCACCTGTCCCCGGGCCAGGGGCGGGGCGGGGCGGGGCGGGGCGGGGCGCCTCGGCAGCGCGGCGGGACGGAAGCTAAGAAAACCGGAAACGCATGCAAGCCGCGACTGGGCACCCCTGTGCAGTTGTCCCCGGGTTTTCGAACCCCCTGCACGCGTTTTTTCCTCGATTCCGGCGTTTTTTCCCTTCCTTCCCTCGGCCGCCCTTGGCACACTCGCGTGGCGGATTTTTTCCGCGTTTCCTGCCTATCGAAAACGGAGTAAGATTGTGTTTCTTTTTCCGTTCGGCACACGTGTTGCCCGCGTCCCCCCAGCGCGTGTGCCCGCGTCCCCCCAAGTCTCGGCGGGGTTCGAAATTTGTCTAAATTAGCGCCGTTTCTTCCACCTCGCCTCGGGACTGCAGTTTTTTGAGCGTGAGGCCGCCGCCTTACAGCGTGCCAGGGGACCAGCGGAGGCAGCCAAAACTTTGCGTTTCGAGCTCCAGAGACGCTAAATGGGACTCGAAACGAACGTGTGACCCCACCATTGGATTCCTCGTTTGAAGAGCAATCCATTGGTCGGGTCACACGTTCGGTTCGAGTCTCATTTAGCGACTCTGGAGCTCAAAACGCGTCTAGAATTTTGGCCGCCTCCGCCGGTCTTCTGGCCCACTGCACGCCTCGCTGCACCCACTTAGCCCGGCGTCGTTAATCAGGAGTGCTGTAAGCGCTGCAAGCGGCGAAAGGCGTATTAGTTTTAGTGCATTTTCACGTCGCCGGATTCGTCTGGGCCGAGTCTGGCCGCGGCGCGCCCGGCCTACATCACGCGATTCCTGGCGAGGCCCCCGGCCGCCCGGCTCGTCTAGATATTCTAATGCAGGCGCTAATTGAGCGCGCGCCGCCCAAAAGCCCAAAAATAATAATAATATCCTTCTCTATCCGTCTCGGCCTCGTGGAGCCGGCCGGGCTAACAAGCTGCAGTCCGTGGCGTGCGCCAGCAGACTGATTTCGAGAGTCGTTTTCGTCGCTCTGTCTCTCTCGCACCTACACGGGGCGCCCTATGAGTGCGAGGACAGAGCGACGAAAAGGACTCCCAGTCTGCAGGCGGCCCGCCGGCCAAGCGGCCCGTCTGGGCCCGTCAGCACGCAGCCGAGTGTCACTGGGAAAGCACCGTGAATGAGGCTGGGCGGCCAATTAATTATCGGAACGTTCAAGGACGTACGAAAAAAGGAGTTGGGTGGGTCTTGAACCGCGGTCCCGCCACTCCAGGGGCACGCGCGCTGGCGGCTGTGCTACGGGGATTCGGACGGCTGGCCGCGATTGAGAGGGTTGCGCTGCGGCTTTTCAAGTAAAACAGGGGATGGGAAAAACGGAGCGTATGTGGTGGGCGCTTGGCCGATTCGGCGCCAGGCCCAGCCAGGGCGGCCCAGGGCGGCCCAGGGCGGCCCAGCCCGCTCCCCTCGCGCGGCCGCGAGATGGACTTGCCGCCAGTGTAAAGATACACAATCGTAAATCGATGCGCGTTCAACAGCCCGCGGTCCTCGTTTTCGCTCACAGCACACGCCCAATTGGGCTCTCAAATGCTCCCAGTTGAATTCTGTTTTTTTTTCCCTCTTTCCCTTTCGGCCTTGCCATTTTTTTCTATCGCCGTTTGTTTTCTTTGCAGGGTATTGGCACTTCTTTTTACCCTCACCCACCCTCTTTGCGCGTACCTCCCCCAATCTCCTGCGCCTCTCTCTCCGTCTCTCTCTCTCCCGTCCTCTCCTCCCGCATCTTGCCTCTCTCTCCCTCCCTCACGCACACTTCCTCTCCCCTGCATGCAATTCCTCCCTCCGTCTCGCTCCCTCCCCCCTCCCTCCGGTTTTTTATGTTGTCATTCATTTTTGAGCATGCGCGCGGGCGTCGCGTCGCCTCCCCTCCCTTCCCCAACCTTTGCTCCTATCCCCCTTTAAACATCGCATTTTTTCTATCTATTGATTTTTTTACCCGGCACCCCCCCCCCGCCGGCGTCTTCCCCTCCTCCCCCGGTCCTTCCCCTCCCCTCCCCTCCCCCCTGCCCTCCGCGTACGCGCAGGGCCGGCTCGCTGCCGCGCTACGCGCCGAATTCGGCGAGCCTCTCGCTTGATATATTTTAGTAGCCGTAAAAAGATGAAGTCGTTTTTATCCAGTTTTATTTTATTCGGGTAGGTCGCGGCCGCGCCGTGCCCTGCCACGCAGCAATGCCCTCACATGACTCCCCCACCCGGCGCCTCCGTGGCGTCTTACTTCCCCCTTTATTTTTTTTCGCCAAGCCGCGCCGCGCTTCGCGTTTTTTTTCTGCGATGCAGATTTTTTTTCACCGCCACCGCCAACAGCCTTTTCTGGAATTCTATTTGAAGCGGTTTGTTTGGTGTTTTGCCGATTTATCGCCCCATTTCTTTTATCGACGACCTTGGCTCTTTTTTGCGGGGGATGAACATATGTCCGGGCGTTTAGCGGGGGCGGCGGCTCAAGGGGTTGCCGACGTCGTTTTGATGTGATTTGGATCGGAGGTAAAGTGTTATCGGCGGGGATTTTATAGTGCAGGCGCGCGCGGCGCGCGTTCGCCCCGTCCCGGGAGAAGGATCGTAACTGCGCACGATTTGCTCGGCAGTTGCACAGTGAGCCACAAGACTGGAGGAGGCGGTCAAAATCTCGGACACGTTTTGAGGTGCAGAGTCGCTAACTAAGACTCGAACCGAACGTGTGACCCCACCAATGGATTGCCCTCCGAACGAGCAATCCATTGATGGGGTCACACGTTCGGTTCGAGTCCTGTTCAGTGACTCTAGACCTCAATAAACGCGTCTAGAGTTTTGGCCACCTCCACCCAGGTCTTCTGGCCCACTGTGGGCGCACTGTTAGTGAGGTTTTGCGGGCAGCCGTTTAATCTCTTGCTTGTGTGTTGGCAGCAATGCGGCTCGCATGCCAAGGATATGGAGTACTCGTGGCCGCGCCAGCCCATCATCAACAAGCAAGGATACGAGGTGGGTTGTTCGGTTGTGTGAGTTGGTACTGCTGTAATGCTCGTCATTCCAACCAAATTGCCGCCGTTTTAGCGGCCCGTAAACGCTGCTGATGCGGTATTCGCGGTGATTTGGCTTTAAAATCCGATCCGTGGATCGTCGGCGTAAAGCAGTCGCACGCGTGAGCGGGTTAGGTAGGGCGTGCGTCGACGGCGTGCTTGTACGCTGTAAAAGCGACTAATTTGTTTGTCTCTGCCCGCAGGCCAAGATGAGCGGCGTGGACCCGCAGGGCAACCACTCGATGCATAAAGGTAAGCTTTTCTGGAAGGACGGCCGGTGTCCGCCTCGATCGGGGCCAAAAGCCGCGACGCCGCGGAGCCATGGCGCGGACAAGCCGCTCTAGGTCACTTGCGTCGTCCCCGCGGCCTGTTACGTCAAGGCCGAGCGCCCTGGACTGCCCAGGCCGGGCGGGCAGATCCCTGTCAGCTCGTCCCGTGGATTTCCCTTTCGGTGTGGCGGCCCTGCACTGTGGGCCTGAGGACCGGTGGAGGCGGCCAAAGTCCCGGACGCGCTTTTGGCTCCAGAGTCGCTAAATGGGACTCGAAACGAACGTAAGACCCCACCGGATTGCTAGGAATCCATTGGTGGGGTCACACGCTCGGTTCAAGTCCCGTTTAGCGACTCTGGCACTCAAGGACTCGAAACTCGCGTGTGACCGGTGTGACCCCACCATTGGATTCCTCATTCGGAGAGCAATCCATCGGTGGGGTCACACGTTCGGTTCGAGTCCCATTCAGCGACTCTGGAGCTCAAAACGCGTCCGGGATTTTGACCGCCTCCACCGGCCTTTTGGCCCCTGGAACCCCTGGCCGGGCGGGCAGACTTGGATCCCAGTCAGCTCGTCCCGTGGATTTCCCTTTCGGCGAGGCGGTCCTAGAACCCCAGGCCGCGCCGCAGACTAGGTCACGTGACATGATCCCTTAAAAATTCATTGACTGAGCATGCTAATAATCGCCTCGTTAAAGTCAATTCCGTCTGTCGTTTTTTCCGTGGGTTCCGTGTTGTCCAATTGCCCTCAGTCGTAGATCCTGCGGGTCCGAACGTACATAGCTTTTTTGGCCCTTTTTTTGCCTCCCCGTTTTCGGGCGGCGTTTTCTAGTGTGCGATGCACTGTGGGGCACGTCGCGCATCCTTGAGGCCGGCCCAGAACCGTCTGTCTCTCTCGCACCCCTTCGCATCGCGCCATGCGTGCGAGAGAGACAGAGAGAGGGCAGCCCTTGCAGCATCACGAGGAAATGAGCCGAGAATCCATCAGCGCCATCTGATAAGCGTCCGAGTAAACTAGCAGAGGCTAGCCGAGCCTGAGTCCGTCTGGCCAGGCTGCAGAAAGGAAACCGGTTTTTCTCTCCAAAAGCGGCTCGGCCACAGTGCTCGCGCACGGGGGCCCGGGCCGGGCGGACCGGGCTGAGCAGCAGACTCATTCCGAGAGTCGTTTTCGTCGCTCTGCCTCTCTCGCACCTGTACGGGACGCCTCTGGAGTGCGAGAGAGACAGAGCGACGACTCTCGGAATGAGTCGACGGACCAGCGGCAGCGCAAGGAGCTTGAACGACTGCCTCGCCAGTCAATTATCAAATTATCAAGTCTTATGGATGGCGGGCACACTGGCACAGGCCGTCTGACAGTGTGAGCGGCAGTGGCAAGTCGCGGGCACGCCGGGCAGGTGTATTATGGAGATCGGCGCTGTACTCACTGCACTCTGTGTGTGTGTGTGTGTGTGTGTGTGTGTGTGTGTGTGTGTGTGTGTGTGTGTGTTTGCTTTTCGGCGCACGTGCGGCGCGCGATCAGTCTTCATCGCAGTGTTCACACCGACCGAACTGTCGTTCGAAAATGGACTCGGGGAAATTAACCTGTAGTGCATGGCACCTTCTATCCCTGGATGCCCGGCTGCCGTTCGATTGATAGTTTTATCACCCTCGAGCAAAAGTCGTTAAAATAAAAGGGGTTTGAAGAAAACCGCGATTATTTTGGTCTGATTTCATCGTCTGCAGGAAGCTGATTCCGAACAGTGCGTTCGTCGCTCTGTCTCTCTCGCGCACTCTAGGCGTTTAGGGGTGCGAGAGAGACAGAGCGACGAAGTTGAGAATGAGCCCGGTGGGCAGCCTGGGTCGCACAGTGGGTCAGAAGACCGCGGGCGGGTGGTCAGAATCCCGGACGCGTTTTTAGCTACAGAGTCGCTGACTCAAACCGAACGTGTGACCCCACCAAAGGATTGCTCTCCGAACGAGGAGTCCATTACGGTGGGGTCACACCACACGTTTGGTTGCAGTCCTTTTTAGCGACTGTGGAGCTCGAAACGTGTCCAGAGTTTTGGCCGCCGGCGCCGGTCTTCTGGCCCACTGTAGGTCGGCTGCTGACGGCTTGGATAAGGCAGGCGATGGCTGGCCGCTGGCGACGGCCACGATCCTGGAAACCCGTAGGCTTCGCCGCTTCGCCTGTCCGCGCCGCCGGCCTTGAGAACACAAACCAGTGAGCTTGTTGGAAACGGCCGGTCCTGCCTCAAAACGCAGCTCCTGGTCCGCTTCACCTTGATATCATCAGCCGGCTGCTGCCGCGACGCCCGTCCAATCCCCATGAATAGGGAAATTGTGAAACGATGCGCGAGCCTTAGGCTCTACGTGCGTCAAGGAGTCAGTAGACCGCGCGCGCGCCGAAGTCAGATTCGCGTCAATGTCTGTCAGTGGGACTTCGTCCGTCGCGCCCTCCTGGGCAGGTGGCTGCCTGGGGCTCCGGGCCCACAGTGGGCCAGAATACCAGTGGAGCGGCCAAAATTCGAGATGCGTTTTGAGCTCCATAGTCGCTAAATGGGACTCGAACCGACCGCGTGACCCCACCAATGGACTCCTCGTTCGGAGAGCAATCCATTGGTGGGGTCACGCGCTCGGTTCGAGTCCTTTTCAGCGACTCTGGAGCTCAAAACGCGTCTCGAATTTTGGCCGCTCCACCGGTCTTCTGGCCCACTGTGGGGCGGCTGCTCCGGGCATGAGGCTTGAGGGCATGAGGCCTCCGGGTTACTCCGGGCCCGGAAGCACTGGGCCACTTTTCTGGCCCGGGGCGCCTTGGACCGCCGTGCGCCGCGACGCCGCCGAACGAACGCGCCACCGAGTCCCCGGAGGGACACCGTTGCGGAGGGCCTGTCCCACTAATTGATGTGCTCCCGGGCCCAGCAGACTGATTCCGAGAGTCGCCGTGTCTCTCTCGCACTCGCGGGGCGTCCCCTGTCGGTGCGAGAGAGGCAGAGCGACGAAAACGACTCTCGGAATCAGTCTGCAGGACCAGGAGTCCTAGCAGGCCTATAAGCAGGACCGCCGGATCACAACGGGACATTAGCATAGGGAGGCCGTTAACCAAGTGGTGGCCGGCAGCGGCAAGCTAAAGCGCCAAGCCGCCACGCGCACCTATGGGAACGCGACGTGAGCCGCGAGGGGCCCGATTAACGGAGATGCGACCATTGGCAGTGCAAGCCGCTGCAAGCCGACGGGCCTGCACCACTCAGGGGATTCGGACTCAACAGACTGAATCCGAGAGTCGTTTTCGTGGCTCTGTCTCTCTCGCACCTTCATGGAACGCCCCATGAGTGCGAGAAAGACAGAGCGACTCTCGGAGTCAGTCTGCCGATCCACCGCCTAGACGTCTAGGTCGTCGTGGTCAATGATTACGAGACGAGCCGGTCGAAGGGTTGCTGCGGTCCGCGCCGGTGGTCCGCCAAATAATACATATGCCGGGCACTACTCTTCTACTTCCGCCTGCATTTATACCGTCAGGAGCGTGATGGAGACGTGTCGCTGCTGCGCCGCCCCCGCGCCGCCCCCGCGCCGCCCCCGCACCGCCCCCGCTCCGCCCCCGCTCCGCCCCCGGGACCACCTGTGCGCATTTTCGGGTCCCAACACCTCGGAGGCCTTCCCCCCCATTTTCCCGTAATCTTCGGAAATCATGTAATTATCATCCGGCGTGCCATCGCCGCCGCCGTGGCGTGCCAGTGGCGTGCCAGTGGCGTGGCAGTGGCAGTGGCGCAGCGGTCTAGGCAGAGTACACAATCGACATGCCTTTTTCAGCGGCGCGCTCCGGCCGCCCCGCCGCGCCCCGCCACGCCTTCCTGCCCGTCCGTCTGATGTCTCTGTCTTGGCGGGTGGAGGCAGCGGCTGAGTTTATCTGATCATGTAGGGCACGATGTCGTTAGTGCGGCGCGTTGGTAACCCTGGCGGCCCTGGCGCCGGCCGGCAGCACTGCGTCGCCGTCGACGCCGTCGTCGTCGTCATCGCCGTCATCGTCGTCGCCGTCGTCGTCGCCGTCATCGTCGCCATCGTCGCCGCCGTCGCCGCCGTCGTCGCCGTCATCGTCGTCGTCGTCGTCGCCGTCGTCGCCGTCATCGTCGTCGCCGCCGTCGCCGTCATCGTCGTCGCCGCCGTCGCCGTCATCGTCGTCGCCGCCGTCGCCGTCATCGTCGTCGCCGCCGTCGCCGCCGTCGTCACCGTCGCCGTCGTCGCCGTCATCGTCATCGTCGTTGCCGTCGACGTCGACGTTTTCGTGCGGCGGCGGGGAATTTCGGCAGCGCGGCCGCGGGTCACGACGACGCGGTCCTGGAGGCGCGGCGCCGCACCACGACGCACCACGCCGCCGTACGCGATGACGCCCCGCGACGCCCCGCGACGCCTCGCCGCGCCGCCTTGCGTCAAGCAGCACTCAGCCGTGACGATATCCTCGGCGCGCGGGCTGATATTTTCGTGAATGAACGGAGACGCCGGCGGCATACCGCTCGCACTGCGCAAAAATAAAGGAATAAAAATAGAAACTGCAAAAAAACAGTGATGAAAAAAACGAGGGCAAGCAACCCGTCTGTTTGCGAACCCGCTCGGCAGATAGTTGGTGAATGGCCCTCGCTTCGCACTGCTCTGCCCTGCTCACCCCCCCCCCCCCCTCTCTCTCTCTCTCTCTCTCCGGCGCTGAACTTGTGATAGCGTTGGCGCATGAGGCCGCTGATTACATCCGGGCGGACATCAGCGCGGCTTATGCAACGCGTAATGCATGTATCTGGATGGAAATGAGCCCAAGTGGGGCATTTTTGGTCTGCCTTTGACGTTGGACACACTCACTCTCGCTCTCGCGCTCGATCACATTCACGCTCAGTCAGTCACTCACTCTCACACACGCACACATACACACGTTCCAAGCGCGAGGTGCAAGGTCAGGCCGTAATCGTCGTGTCCGAGCTGATCTCGGGGGCCAACGCGTGCGATTTGTTTTGCGCGAGTT